CCTAGCATAACTTACTCTGAGTCACACAACGCGTGACGCGTTCGTGAATTAATCGTTGGCTCTTTCTCGAAACGTGACCTTGGGTCGCCTGTGACAAGACAATTGCGTAAACAATACTTAACATAATAACATTATACACAAAAAACACGGGTTTTTGGATCATGTATTTATTAAAAAAGAATATCCATACAACTACAATGAAAACAAACATAAGATTCACCTTTCTGATCGTGAAATTAATACCATTCGCACTGTTATCGTAGCTACGTTCCCTGGCATCAAGTGAATCCAACATGGCGTCTTTCTTCACAAGCAGTTTGCATCCATTTGAATTTTGTTCTTCAGTCTCACGGTAGTAGTGTTGTTCAATAGATTGCATAGAGTATATGCAGTTTGGTTTCAGATTTTGCTTTTTACAACGAGTTTACGTTTTCAACTAAGACATTGGCATACTTGGCATACTTGGCATACAAGACATACAAGGCATTCAATGCTTTCATGGCTTTCAAGCGTTCGCGATTCAATCCGTTCCAAAATTACCGCTATTAATTAATTAATTATTTTGTGTGGATTGGCCGCGAGCAATACGACTTGTATATGCGTCTATAAGTATTTTGAGCGTTTGCCCCATAATGCTCCAGATGATCGTAATCCAAACACGTTGAAATACAAAACGACTGACAAAAGAGTTTTATGGGCAAAAATCTCGTGTTCGTCATGTGACCCGGCCCTGTCCGTGCATGACAACGTCAATCATCATCAAGATAACATGCGTGATCAGCATGTGAACACCTCATTGGATCACAGTTAGTTGTCATGGTGCTGAGGGCCCAATGACCTCTGGGTGCTATTGCGCAATTTTTCCATTTTGTGGCGGAGGAAAAAAAAAAAAAAAAAAAAGACGACAGAAAAACAAAGGCATTTTACGACTGGGCTACCACAGGTATCCCAGTAATTATGCACAAACTGGTAATTTCAACTTATTTGAACGCATTCTTTTAAATCATTTGAATATAAAATATATAGTTATAGCATATGATGAATGAAAACAATCTGAAAGACATGACTCAAAGCGAGTTAATTCAACTGATAATGAAACTGAACAAAAAGCAAAACCCATCGAACTAAAGAAACAAAAAAAGCAAAAATACAATCTGGAGAATCTTTTCGATGATGACACATTTTCAGACAATGAAATCGAACCATTTGACAATAAAATGAGAGAGATTTACTGATTAAAGCGCAAAACAGACAAAAACATCAACGCTGCGAATGACAAATAGAAAATGTTAACTCTTAATTAAAAGCAAATGATGATGTCACTATTTATCCGATGAAAGAAATATCATTGCACAAATTCAGACTAGATGAATGGAGACTACCCAAATCAAGAACTGAAATGGCATCATCGTTTTTCTTGGCAAGGAGGTTGTGATAACCTCTTACAACATATGACTGATTTTAGATGGTCGAGAAGCCACGAAAATGTCACCAAATTAAATACCATCGATGAGATGACCAATACAAGTAAGGAAAACCACATTATCGTGTTACCAGAAGAAGCAAGAATGACAGAAGCTATTGAAGCTTAGATATTGAAATCTTATAGGTTATTCCACGGTTGGTGAGCGCGTACGATTTTTATTCACAACGAGTGAATAAAAATCGTACAAGCGAACTGTGAAATAATTTATTTATTATATATATACCGAGATGTTTTCTGTTTGTTTCCAATCGCTCTGACAAAGGGCTAACGCTCGAAACGTCAGCCTTTTAACTCTTTATGGTGGTTAATTTATGTTTTCCACTCCGTTGTTAACACTAAATTACCTATAATAGCTAAGTTTTTTCGTTTATCTCACGATGTAGTCACGTGTGATGTACATCGCGACGTTACGACTGCATACTGCTAGTCTTCTTCAGGCGATTTCAACAGCTCTGATTGTTGCTTTTCGATCCTTATTGTTTCAATCGGTGATTTGCTCCTTTTTTTTTACGAAATTAACCGAATAGATGGGCGCACAACCCTAAAGTTGATTTGTCGACATGAGCGTTGCTCGCGCAAGCTCGCTCGCTACACCAACCATCTCACCTTCCTAACAAGGTGCATCAAGAACCGCGTTGTTCCTAAAGATCTAAGAGTTCGACCGCCAGTTCCCACCAAAGGCGCATGCAAAGTCGCTGAACTCGCATCCATGAGATTCCTAAGGGAACGGATCAGACTGACACAGAAGACCAAGGGAGATGCAAAGAAGGATACAGAATCTACAGCACAGAGCATAACATCGGCTCTCTCGACAAACGACGCCAACAGGATACTAGAACAGATTAAGACCAACACCAACGAGTCTTTAACACTACCAAAGACAGACATAAGCAGAAGTTTGAAAAACTTAATAGAGAAAAACAGGCAGCTGTGACAAAACTTACTGGGTTGTTAATTTATCTTCTAGGCCCCTTAGCGATGCCGAGAAAACCCTGCTGAAGAAAGGACTGAACTTCGCCGTAACCCCTACGGATATTCCTGCCACAGAGATCATCGCCAAGGTCGAAGCAGCCGTAAGAAAACTCGACGCTGAACAAGCAGATACTGTCAGAAGAGCTGTTAACGGTATCCTTCAACAGGCAGAACCACCAGAGCCTAACATTACGAAGGAGATACGAGATGCACTTAAAAGCCTGAAAGAAGACGAGTCCATCAAGGTTCTCCCAGCAGACAAAAGGCGCGCTAGCATAGTCATGGATACCGACACCTACCGAGCTAAGATGTCTACGCTTATTACCAGCTCCTCAACAGAGACCCGACAGACCGTCTGACCCGCAAGTTGTCGGAAAAGCTGTTTACCTTAAAGCGAAGCGGAAATCTATCAGATGAATAAAGGGGTAAGTTTCTAGAGAAACTGTTGTGCTGCGTCGGTGGGAGAGTATGGCAGGTAATTTAGTGTTAACAACTGAGTTGAAAACGTAAATTAGCCACCGTAAAGGGTAAAAAAGCTGACGTTTCGAGCGTTAGCCCTTCAATCGCTCTGACGAATTACTGGATATCTATCAGAGGTCGTCTACAACAAGATCAGACCCCGACATAAACAGCCGCCTAGAATCTACTGTTTACCGAAGATCCATAAGGCCGATGTACCGCTAAGACCTATTGTGTCGTGCGTAAACACCTTTGCATATGATTTATCCGCTTACTTAGCCAACATCTTGTCTCCTTTAACAGGAAAGTCAGAGTAAACGGTGATCAACTCAGCCCACTTCATATCCACCGTCAGCAATGCAACGATCCTAGACAACGAGATCATGGTATCTTTCGACGTAGAATCACTGTTTACCAACGTTCCTATTGACGCCGCTGTACAAGCCGCACTGCAGCAACTCGAAAACGACCCAAGGCTTTGCAGACCGCACCACGCTAACACATGCACAGATCGCTGACCTTTTGACCTTCGTATTGAGATCCACATACTTCCAGTATAACGGATCGATTTACGAACAAAAAGACGGCGCCGCCATGGGGAGTCCGGTTTCCGCTGTTATTGCTAACCTCTACATGGAGAGTTTCGAAGAACAGGCCATAACTACATCATCCTTCGAGCTAAGGATCTGGAAACGCTACTTAGACGATACCTTTACCATCCTGGATCGCGAAAACGTGGATGACTTCTTACAGCATCTGGACAACCGGTAGCCTTTTATCCAATTCACTATGGAGACAGAGAAAGACAAAAAACTCGCCTTCTTAAGACCAGGCATTTTTTAGAGAACCTGTCAGCCGTCTCACCACCAGCGTATGCAGGAAGCCCACGCACACCGACCTATACTTAGCGTATGATTCACACCACCCTCAATCAGTAAAACGCGGTATTGTTAAGTGCCTTTACGAGTGCGCCAAACGTCTCGTAACAAAACCCTCAGTCGTCTCCGAGGAGAAAAAACATTTGCCATCTGTTCTGGTTTCTAATGGTTATCCTTTTTCTTTCTTGCAGAAACTTGCCAAGACCGGAAACCCAAACAACAGTGCCGAACCCGCTAACGAGTTCAAAGCTACTGCGGTTTTACCTTATGTCAAAGGTCTATCCGAACGGTCTCGTCGTTGCCTACAACAACAAGGCGTACGCGCTGTTTTCAAGTCGGAGACTACGCTAAGATCTAAGTTAGCACGACCAAAAGACGCTGGCTAAACAAAATAGCGTAGTTTACAGGATTCCCTGTGAATGCGGCAAGGTGTACATCGGAGAGACTGGAAGACCTATGCAAGACAGAACGAAGGAGCACGATCGAGACATCCGACTCGCCCGTACCGAGACCTCCGCCGTTTCAGAACATGCCCACAACACCGGACACAAGCCACTCTGGAACGAAGTAAAGCTTATTGATCGTGACTCTTATTACTACACGCGCAGGGTCAAAGAGGCAATTTATATAAGACTTCACCCTAACAACTTCAACAGGGATTGTGGAATAGAAATTCCAGAAGCGTGGATGCCCACGATCAAAGAACACAACAACAGGAGAGCTGTGCGACAGCCTACCGCCGAGGGAGCAAATCACCGAGTGAAACAGCAAGGATCGAAAAGCACCAAGCAGAGCTGTTGAAAAAACAACTAATCACAGCAGAGCATCATGCTTTATAAGATCACACATGACCAGTCGACCTCATTGCCTGAAGAAGACTGACAGCATGCAGTCGAAACGTCGCGATCTACATCACACGTGACTACGTCGTGAGACAAACGAAAAAACTTAGCTTTCATTGTTATTCACCACGATGAATAACCACAACCTTTTTTACGAAACTAAATTACCTGCTATACTCTCCCACCGACGCAGCACCACAGTTTCTTTAGAAACTTCCCTTACAAACTTACCCCCATTATGTTGTTTTCTGTTAATATTAACACAAAGGTTTTTGTATTTGAGCTTTAACGCTGCAAAGGAAGGTGCTCACCAGCGGTAATTTGTCTATGATTTTGATTTTTTCCGATACGCTTCGATTAAATCTTCCACCGTTTTTGCAATATGTGACATTTGGCCGATTTTTTGTTAACTTGGAAAAAAAGTAGGTGGTTATTAAGGTATAGTTTCTTTGTTTCTTGTATATTTTTTCCGCATCCAACTAAGAATTGGTGTCATGAACTTTTCATGAATTGGCAGTAGGTAGGGCACAAATATGTTAAACGCTCTACTAAATGTTTGGAAATTCTACAGAAGGAAACACAATGAATGTCATTCAAAACTTTCAACGTCTTTCTCTCAAAACAATACGTCATTAAATAGGACTTCGCCAAGATCGATTTCTGGGCATACGCAAACGTTCGAATCTGTTGCCTTTTCGCAGTATTTCGCTCAGTGTATTCTTTTCTGTCAACCCCTTTTTCAGGTGTAGAAGACCTATGAATATTATGGGTATCGTTGCTGGTAAATCCCAGAGTCCATCACAAAAACTGTATTTTCTTATACACCTTTTAAAATAACAATCGTGCGATCGAATCCAGCTGCCAAGTTTGTTTTGCCGCTGTTAGCATAGCTTTAACTTTTACATACTTTAATTACCTTTATTGATGCAATGATTAATAGAATTACTTTGAACCTTGGAGACAAAAAGATTTCGTGACTATTTAATCACTTTTGATGCCCATAAAGCCTAAACTAAGTTTAGACTTAGTGCATTTAAAAGTAACGATTAGCCCACGTTGGTTCTTTGCGATCTCTCTCCCAATAAGATGACGCCAAGGATCGAAGCACTGACGGAATCGAGGTACGATATTGGCTAACCGCGCCATTAAAAAGAATGTAAATAAAAAGGCACAAAACAGCGTGCATGAAAGATGATCATTCTCGAAATCTAAAACCTTAGAAATATGATACATAGAGAATAATACATAGGCGCGCGTAGATAAGAAATTTCTCGTCGTCGAGTTGAGCACGAGAAGAGAAATTCCATATCTACAAGCAACCATGTATTATTTTATCTATCATATAAACACAATAGCCCTTCACAAGGAAGAAAAGGCGATTTCATTGATTAATGAAAATAAATGAATCGACAATCTTCGAATAACAATCGTAAAGTGCGTTGGCGCAGACTCTTAAGATGGAAAAATGGGTTGAGTCATGATTACAAAAACAACAATGGTCGTAATTTTAGATTGAAAAAATTCTCATTTATTGACTTTGTCCTTACCGACAGAAGAAGTCTTTCAGGTAAACGGCCAAAATTGGCTAGTGGCAAATCTTCCGGTTGTCGATTTTCACTCTCAGCCGAGAGAAATGCTAACGCCAAAGCCACTGAATGCGCAACTTTCGGTTTTCCTTTTAGTATATTGGTTTTCTTCCTCTTCTAGGAAAGTTTGAACCTCATTGTCTGTCAGTGATACGGATTTTTCTGTGTTTTAGCCGCCTTAATTCGAGAAAGCTCCAACAAACAACTTGTAATTGAGAATCGTGAAGACTTTGCTGTTCATTCATCAACCTGACCGAATAGCGCCAAAGGCGAGTGACGTGTAAGCAGCTAATTGGGTATATCAACACACGTGGAAAAATACGATATTTTTTTCACGTGTGTTGTTACGGCTTTTCTTAAGGCCGGAAATCCTTGTACAACACCGCCGTTTACGTGATAAAAAACATGAGGAGTGACGAGTCGGATGTGCAGCGCGTTGTGCGCAATGCCACGCAACGTCAGCAAGAGAATAAAATCTTTATTAAATGGAAATTCTTGCCCTGAAAACAAATGAAGCAGTTTAACCCCAGTCAAATAGTTACGAATAGCAGAAGGACTAAGCATACTACTAAGAAATTGCACATAAAGGAAATTAGTATCCAACGTAGCTGGTGTTGGGTGAATCGAAAATACGTACAAAATAACAAAAACGCTTTAAATTGGGTCCTTGAATTACTAAATGTGCCAGCACTGTAGACAGAATGAAGCGTGTTCTTCAAATCCTTTCTCAATGCAGATAATGCTAAGAAATCTACAATAAAAACAAACAAAACGATCTCATTGGGTTTCTATCAAAAGAGCTAATATCTGATTACCATTAGATAGTTTTCAATATTGATCCTGTTCATCAATAACACAAGATAACTAGCATACAAAAGTTCTGAAATGTTCATTCTGAAGATTAGAGTTATTGGCCAAACTTTGTTATGGAGGTCTCATTTTGACAACAAAGGTAGCACATGTAACCCGAGGATTTAAGGAACTGAAAAAACATCAGCATAATCTCTCATAGTGGTCTGATAGATTCAGTCATGATTATGTTTACGTAACGAAGTGGAATAGATTTCTGAAGTTTGTAGGTTGATTGTCGTTTCCAAGGCAAATGATGTGAAATGAACTCTTGGGAAGAATTTCACACGAATATTTTTGACATTTTGTGTACCAGTACACAAGGACAAAACTTTGGAGAAGGGCAGGGACATTCGGAAAATGATGTAATCTACACAGAAGCCATTGGGAGCTTGATTTGGTTTGAATATATGACTAATTTTGGACAATACATTCATGTAAAGTAACAAAATGCTGAGTGTAGGTTTCTTTTGTCCATTAGGGCATAAAGTTCAACTTTCAGTTGGTTGAGAGCAAAACGTTTACTATAATTATTGGATTTAGGTTTTGTGGGACCGTATTTTTAGTGATAAATGAAAAAGGCACCTAGCTATTTTCAGCCAATCAAAAAAGTGTAATTTTATGAAGTATGAAGAGAATCTAGAAGACTGCCAAGCTTGAAGGAAGTCATGAGATGTAACTTGGAAAACATAACACTACTCACACAACAGAAACCTAGGAGTTCAAGTTAATTTTCTAGTTACGTCTTTAAAGTGGAAAACAGAAATTATTACAACTAGATCTCGTGTCTGTAACATTTGATTAAAAATGTTTTCATTATTAACATAATTTATAATGGTAATAGGACTGAGTGGAGTCCAATTCGGGCTGTAATCATACGAGTGATAACAAAATCGGACGACTGTGAAGCGGGAGTCCGAATTGTTTATCAAGAGTATGATTACAGCCTGAATTGGACGACACAAAGTCCTGTTACCAATTAATCATAACCATAACAATTTCCGAAAAAAGATTGGATTGCGATATTTCTCTTTCTTGCACTTTTGGAACACAAGCTTAAATGATGTAGCTGATGTGAGCTGTTTCACCACTAACACTTGACCATTCTACTGACAAATCATAACACTTGACCATTCTACTGACCTAAATGGGAGTAAGTAGAAATTGCAGAAAATATCTGTTGTACAGACACTATGTAATGTTTAAAAAAATCCTCCAGTTTTGAAACTTCCCAGCTTTTGAAAAAGTTGTCTTTGCTGTGGATACCTTGATCATGTTTACGATTGCTTAATTTAATTGGATTAGTGCAATGTGATTGGCAGATTTAACTGTCCGATTACAAGTGTCCGATTACAGCCAACTGTCCGATTACAGGTATCCGATGACAACTCTACAGAATAATTAGGCAAAAATAAAGCTGTTAAACAACCAATCACATTTGAGGAAATTGTAATAGTTATGACAAAACGAAATCAGCAGTATTTAAATGTCCTGTTCTTATCATCACGTATTGCTGGTGCACGCAAGAGGACAAAGCAGCATAATCCTTGGACAAAGGAAGAAAAGGATGAGATTTTCAAACATCTCGGAAATTGCATAAAAAAGAAGATTTTGCCGGGAAAGAGTGAATGTTTAAAATGCATTGAGCAAAGTAATGGGGTGTTGGCTAATAGACAGTGGTCAGTCGTTAAGGATTGCGTAAGGAACATCATTTCTCGAGCAAAAACATTGCAAGAAAAAAATTGTTAGGGAAGGAAAAACTGAGTGTGTACAGTGCATTTAAGAATGGTTGGCTAGTAGACAGTGGTCAATTGTGAAGGATTGCATAAGTAATATCAATTCTCAAGCAAATACTTTGCAAGAAAAAAACTGGATGTTAAAAGTTGCACAGTACAAAGTAACAGAATGTTACTTAAGGAATATCATTTTCTAGCAATAGATAGAAATAGATTCGAGTTTTTGAACTGTCAGCGTAGGCATAACTAACTGATTGTATTAATTTTGAAACACGCCATATAAAAGTTATTTTTGTGGAAAGTTATTGTGTCTTCTCTACAGGGAAACCCCGCTCTACAGACACCCGCTTAATATGGATACTTCCGTTTGTCCCAACGAAAAGCTCATATATTTTCTCTTAAATTAACCCGCTAAATACGGACACCGGTTAATACGGACAACGGACATTTTCTGTGTCCTGAGTCACAACCTCATGCATCGTCAACCTCGCTATACGGACACCACAGGCGGCCCAAGCTCACGTCTCGAGAAAAAGCCAACGATGAATTCATGAACGCGTCACGCGTTGTGTGACTCGGTGTTAAGTTACGGGAGGAACCGTTGAAAATTTGAACACGTTATAAGGAATAGTATGGGGAACGAAATATGGTCGATTTTTTACGATAAATATTTCGAAATATGAATATTTTACACGTAAAATCAATAAAAACTTACTCATGCCCTGTGTATCCGTCGTAGTTTCTGG